GCATGGATTTTTTCCCTTAAATTCTGATTCGCCAAGGGTACATGGACACCCCCTGTGCTGCAGAGTCCTCACACTAGCCTTGCCTGCTGGCCCCCTGAATTTGCTCCCCTGATTACAGGAGGATTCAGTTGCCCACACATACTTTCATTTAGTGAAATTTTGAACCTTTGTAGCACCTTGCTTTGACTTCATCTGCCAGAAGAGCCTGTGCTTATCTGCCAGGGATATCTTGGATACCCTGAGTCCTCTGTCAGAGCACATAAATTCATGGGTAGCTGAACAGAGCCCCACAGCTCCGCTGACTGTGATGGATGTTTAGATATTTCATAAACCTGTAATTCGGAGACATCTATATTTTGGTGACTTAACCTGCAGCCTAAGATTTTGTTGCCATCTCTGTGTCTTACAGCACAAGTACCGTATATTATTATTGGAAAAAAAAATGTAATATTAGAGATTTTGAGATACGTAACTAATGACAAATGCTATTTAAATTGTTAGATGTTCTGAAACAAGTGACAGAGACCATTTTTCCCTTCTGGTAACTCTAGACATGATGCTCTGAGGCAGACTAGTACTCCTTATTTTTGAGTAAAAAATTCTTTATCAGACTGCCAAACACTTCAAATTATCTTACAAAGAATAAATATATAATTCTGATTCCCATAAATCATCTCTGAATGAAGGTATATTTTCATTCCTATATAAAATGACAGAAAGAAAAAAGAAAATAACAATGGAGAATCACATAATAAATGCAGTGAAAAAGGAAAACTGTTTGTTCTCAGTTTTCTCCATATTGCTGAACATGTCAAAAGTGCTGGCTTTCACCTCACTTCAGCTCCACATAGTTGGCTGCTAAATATTAAGCAGAGTAACCATTTGCATGCCTTTCACACAGGAGAATGACAACTATATTTTATCCTGTCATTTTATCCTGTCTGAAAAGCTTGTGGTTATATTTCATGCTTTCGTCTGTTTTTTTCCTATGAGCAAAAATTCTTAATGGAAGACAGATGAGATGATTGTACACTCACTAGACATATTGGTACTATTTTATACATAACTTAAGCACTATTTTCTACGTGGTTTAAACAGTGTAACAACTGAATTAAAATATGCAGCGAAAGGGGGAAAGAAGAAATGTATTCCACAGGTTAAGCAGATAGCAAGTATAGGGCAACCAGTGAAACCATCTAGCGCCTATAAAGTTGATGCTGGATCTCAAAAAATATCTAAAATTCCTAAAATAATGTTTAGCATATAATTCTTATCCAAAAGTCCCTTCAGAGTCCAAGTACACTTGATATAACTAAAGAATATTGAGGGCTGGGTACTCCTCTAGTCTACCTTGAAGACTGGGAGTTGTGAAGCTGACAATGCTTTTTGTCTGCCTAGCCAATGCTTACAGACTGATGCATAAGTGATAAGATGTAAAGAGTAGCCAAAAGAACACAGCAAGCACAAGGAAGTTTTACAGCAGTATTGAAAGGATAGAGTAAAAAAGCTGAGCTGATTTCAGAGCAAGTACAACTGGCAAGAATCATTGTAGCAGTAGCTTCAGGAAGATCAAAGAGACTTTCGGCCCTATTGCAATCAGCAATTTATTAGAGCAAAAGGAATTAGACAGAAAACAATAAAGACATAAAACATCAACACAAAGCACTCTCAGTGAATAAAAATAAGTGCTAAAACACAGGTGATCAGAGCAGCAAGAATAAGAGTTTCTTCATTGTAACATTACAAACTGGTTATGAGGAAGGAGGGAAATTATTTTGAATCTCTTCTAATTGAGTATACCCCTTTGATTAGTTATTTACCATCTACTTTTGAGTATTGTATAATTCAATATCTTTTATAAATCAAAATACCTAGTAAAAGAAATTAATGCATATAACCTGCATGACATTGCATTTATGTGAATCTGGCAATTTCCCATATTTCCATGTACTTCAGTGAATTTCATTTGTTTTGTAAAAGCCAATTTAAATGCTTTCACAGGTGTTTGTAAGACCGAAGCCTCGAATGGTAAATTAGGCAAAGTACGATGAATAAGAAAAATAAAAGGTTGTTCAGGAAAGATTATGTAATTTCCCTGTTTTTTATATGTGAAGCTTGACTTAAAGATTTTGCATTGCAGCAGTATTATTCCCCCTTCCATATGAGCAACCTGGCCATACTAGCATTAGAGCTAAGCTACGTGAGGTTACCTTGTGAAAAAAGATCAAGAAACAATTTGCATATATTTAAGACAGCAGAAGGAAATAAGATTAGTCCCTTTCACATCTTGCCTAGCAGTGAATACAGAGCTTCTTTTGGTTTAAATGAATCAACTGGAAAAGCTTTGCAGATATGACCATGTTAAAAAGCTTGGTTGTGCAAAAGAACACAGCAAGCCAAGGGAGCAACTAGGGTAAAGCAGTGCCAGGTGAGGCTCTTCATGGAATAAGACAATTGTGCCTTGATGTTGAGTGCCTTGATGTTCAGGATTTGGAATCTGGATGTTCCCAAACAGGCAACAGTGGAAGGAAGTTAAAGTATGTGAAGTGGTGAGAAATTACTACTCTAGTTGCAGCGGTAAGACATAGGAAAGATTAAGCGAGTGTCAAGGTGAGAAGGAAGGCAGATGTTATGGTACTATATAGCTTAATTAAGCAGGGGAAAGACTGAGTTTTTACCATGCAGTTATTATGGCATTATAAAAAGGATGCAGTGATGATACAGGGTATTGAAAGGATTAACAGATACTGCCTCAGAAGTGATGCAGAAATAAACTCCTGAGAAGAAAACTTGCCACCTCTATCTGTATTCCTTGTCTCTCTAGAACATTTGTTTTGATCTGTTTATAATTATCAGCTTTTCTGACAACTCATGTCAGAACACAAATGAAATTAAAATTCTATTACGCCTCAAATAAACTGAAAATGAGATTTACACAGAGATTTAAAGTTTACTTACTAAAAGTTTCTACTTACTAAAAAACTGCATGTGTTACACTTATTAAAAAAGCAATATTTTCTGTACTATTTTTCTTTATATTTTTTGTGTTTTTTTTTCTAAACCTATAAGGCTTTTAATATAAAGTTTATTTTATCACACTCTCTTTTGTGATACTACTGACCCAAAAATCACCTACGCTCTTACCTGACATTAAATTTTTCCAGTTTCTAGTATCAGTTGATTGTAACAATCATGTCTGCTTGATATGCACATTCAGTGATTTTACACACTGAAATTATTTACTGTCTTTATATATCAATTTTTCTCAAACAGTTGTAAAAGGGTCTTTGTTTTAAGTAGAGCAGACTATTGCAGCATTTCAGAATTTAGCATATGGGATACTTTAATATCCTTTTGATGGTGTACCATTAAAAATTTAATGAGCAAAACAAAATAACAAAATGAACTTCAGAGTGTAGAAGAAAATGCCACAATATAATTTCTATAAAGCCAGGTGCATGATCTGTTTGGTAAAGAGAAATACTGCACATTCCAAGTGCACATACCAATGTGTTTAATATGACTTGCAAAAAACAAAATTTGAAACTAAACCAAAGTCTCTTCTTTTTCATCACCTAGTGCCTGACACTTCCAGCAAGAATAAGAGTCTGTGTCCTGTTTCCCCTTTCTGTATAGTTCAAAAATTAACTTCTCAACAGCTTATATTACTTCACATAAGTCACAAAAATAATTACTCCATCATTCCTCAATTGCTGAGTAGGATGATCTACCAGGCAAGTTCTTACTTCATGTCTTTCAACAGTCTATTTTTTTTTTAGTACAGAGTTTAGTTTATGATATGGTTTATGTTCTTTGGTACGACAGGAGCTATAGAAAATGAGTCATTGTCTTTTGTAAAACAGTTACAAAAGCCCTACAGCTACAGTAGAATGGCTCCTTTTACCTAAGTTCTCCCAGAAAAAAACATTCTAGGACATCCATGACCTCAGGAAGTCTGATATATGGATATATGCACTTACTGAAATAGCAATCAAATTCTACTTTGTTCTTGTATGGAATATCTCAGCTGAGGTAATTACGAAGAGTCATAAAAAGTTTACTGTTGTAAAAGATCAGGGTTACATAATAAAAATATGCCCTATTCTTCTGCTAATTGTAGTTTTTAGCACATTAACTAATTACTTTTAACATATTGAGGACCAGATCCTGCAAACATTTATGTACAGTAGCTCCAAACTTTATTCCTTGTAGAGAAATATAAAAGAAATACCTTAACTTTGCATTGTTAGGTATACTGTGAAAAAATTATGCCATCAGAAAAATGGAAAATTGCAACCACAGAAAGGGTTACTCTTCCCTGAAGACTTACTGGTACATTGTAGATACTGAGAAGCATTATTTACATTAATGCTTGTGAAAAAGCATTAGTATTACCAAATACTAATGAAGCACAATTTTCATTAGCATTTCATCATTTTAATGATCTTGTTAGAAACAGTGAGATTCCCAAGTTAATGCTTTCACACTTATGCAAAATTATGCTTGTTCATGAAAACAGTGGATAAGAATCTTGAGGAGGTTAATTAAACCCTTAATAAGCCAATGCATTCAGAAACAGGTAACAAGAGATAATAGTCATAAAACTACCCTAGTAAACAGAAACTTACTCACTGTTTTACAAATCTGACTTATACAACCATAGAGGCAAATAAATATTTAATTATAAAAACATTGTTTCTCCAGCTGTTACACATTATCTTTCAGAATATTAGGATCTTTTAAAACCTAAGTAGTTCCACAGTGCACGCTTGAAGTAGGTATCTCCTGTAACTGAATTCAACTATAATTATATACACTACATAATACCTATAGTCTAACATACTACACTGACATAAGTTGAATTTATTATTTGTGAAAATATGAGCTACCTTTTTTTTAAGAACATTTTGTTGGTATAAAATGATCCTTGCTGTTCCTCTACAGCTTAAATAATTATTTTTCTTAAAAACAAAATGAAAAAAAAAATTCTTTAAATGTACCTTGGTAGTGAGCACTAAATCCACGGTATCGGTGGTTGCTGTCTGTTACAAAATGAAGTCTGAGCCAGTTTTTGTTGCTGATAACTGGAGGAGGTATGTTCATTCCAGAGAGCCTGAATTGAGACAATCAAATACAAAATATTAATAAAATACTTAAATTGATCAGGGCTGAAGATCAGTAGAATGTTAGAAAGACTTGATAGAGATTCTTTAAGGATTTTTTTAACACACATTAATTGACATATTTATGCATAATTCATGAAAAAAAAAGGAAAGGGGCTTCTTATGCATCCACGAATAGTATAGTATGCCAAGTATGAATAGACAGTCTGGTCCACTCTGCAAGACCAAGTGATCAGAAAACAAACCAATGCTTATGCAGAAACCACATTATTTGTCAGTCATGGCGATTCTATGACACAGCCACAAAGACTAAAAAGCCTTTGCATCCGTCTAACTCAGAGCACAGGTTAGGCAGAGCACTGCTCTGACCCCCAGGGAAAGGATCACACCCTGTGATTCTTATGTTCAAGGTGTGGAGTAGGAGAACTTAAGTTATGCAGAACCTAAAACAACAAAATAGCCTCCTATTTTTCAAGAGCAATTATTTTCCTAAACCCAAGAGTCAACAAATGAAATACGACTTCTTCCACTTTAATGAATATTTGCTATTAAAGGAATATGAAGGAAGGGCTTTTTTGTGTGTGTTTTGTTTTGTTTTAATGTCAAGATATTTCTCCAATTACAGTAACGTTTTTTTTCTTGAATTGCTCATTAAAAGACTGAGCATTTTTATATTTATTATTAATAGATACGATGCTATAGTTGAAAAATAAAAGTGTAAGTAACCTTTTGATAAACAGTGCTTCTATCAAGTCAATTAAGCAAGAAAATATTTCACACTAAGAACAGGAGTAGACACATCTTCAGCATATCTATCTAGATGGTATGAAAGTCAGTACATCTATCTAGATCCTTCTATTTATTTCTAAAGAGCGTTCTTCCAGTAATTAGAGTGAAATTCTAGCCAACAAGTACACAGTTACAGATTTAGACATGATGTATTCCTCTTCTACTTGGAGAAAGAAAAAGCCTACAATGAAACAGATCATAAAATTATTCAGACATACCACAATAAATAGATTGTTTTAATAATTTCTTGGTTTTACCAAAGACTAATCTTAGAAGTGACTTTGCAAAGTACAATATCGTTACCAATATTGATACTTCCATTTTATAAACAGAGAAACTAATCAGCAAAAAGAGAAAGCAAGGTGCCCTAAATCATCTAGCAGGCAAGTAACTGAAGAAAACTGAAAGAGAAGACTGCAAGTTTGTAGCTCCAGCTTTTAAACTAAATTCAAATCAATCTTACCTAGAAAAATAGCTGCAGATAATCTTTCAGAAGGCACAGTTCCCACCCTCTCTCATATTAAATTAGGAACTTAGGAAGATATCTCAACATAATTTCTTTAAACAATTGAGTTTCTTCTAATAAAAACTTTTCAAACGAAACACTGCATTTTTTTCACCCTTTCTCTAGAAACAATAATAGAGGAATGTATTGACTAGACAGGGAAGTGGCCTCCTCCAAATCCACGTTCTTTGCCTTGCTAATATCAGTGCGTACCCTTTCCAAAACACACTACCCAGGAGTTATTTAATGACTTAATGATTCAAGGTTTAAAATCATATTGTGATAGTAATAGATAAGATTAGTAATAGACAGCTAGATAAAATACAATAATGAAAAATAATAGTGAATTCAAAAAAATAATCACAAGTGCCTGAACCCCCCCCCCCTTTTTTTTTTCCTCTGGTTCTCATAAAGGACCTGGATCTAAATTTTGAGCTCAGTTCTTGCTTGAAGGTAATTAGAACTAAGTTTCAGCTCCACTGGTGAAAATGAATGCTTTTTGGATACAAATCCCTAGATTCAATTTCTGCTTATGGTGATCTATTCAGGAAAATTGCATGCGTCATTTGGTGGGAGACCATTCTCCAACTATGGTCATATTATTTTCATCTAAATCATTCTTCTCTTGGAAATGCAATAGCCTCTTTCTTACTAAATGCCTTCCTAGATTCCTCAAAGGGGATCTTCTCCTGTTTACCTCGATGACTTGACATAAATCCAGGAGCAAGCTTCTGAACAAACTCCCCTTCCCAATTTCTAGAATTCCTGAGCAGGCTTGGGAGTGGGGAAGTGGGAGCGACGAAAGGGATGTGGTTAAGACCCAAGAAAGCATACATGCAAGTTTCAATAAATACTTTCTACAGAATAATTGTCTTGTATAAAACTAATATATAAGAGCTTTAATTCTTTCCTAGAACTAGAAATGGGACTTTTAAGGACATATCACCATATATCAGTATCCAGTGCAAGATCTTCTTTATACATGGAAGAGAAATATTATATTATAAAGCTCTCACTATATATTGCACTTTAGCAATATGAAGGTTTATCACAAAAACCTACACTATAACAGTATAATGGAAAGCACAAAAATAGGTGGGCCTAAACTTACAAAGCTACAGGAGCAAACAGTTTGAAGCCAACAACTATTCATAATAAAACACGCACTTTAAAATTCATCTTTTTTAGAGAGGAAAAAATTAAAATGCATCTTAAATAAAGGTCTATTAAGCTTATGCAAATTTATTATTTTTGAAGAAGACTTTTGAAATGGTAACAATTTAGAGGCAGTATTCTTTCCATTTTTCTGAGTCATCAGAAAATTGAGTAACTTTAAGATAATTTCCCATATTTCTGAAATAGTTTTAGTGCTGTTCTTCCCTCAGGTGTCAAGATAAATGAAAAAATGTTTTACTGACATTGTTTTACATCAGCCTCCCCCCACCCCCAAATATCTCTCTCTTTTTTTTTAATTTAGTGCTATGAGATTGCAGAATATGTATCAGTCTCACTGTGGCAACATCTGACAATCTTTAATATATTTACTCAGAGAGCAGATATTGAAGTATTTGTCCCTTTTATGTGAAACTCCTCTCCTCTCGTCCCCACAGAATTTCCAGTCATTTCTGTGCTTGTCTGTAAATACTCCACTCCAAGGAACCTTCCAAACAACTTGGAAGGCAAAATCTAAGTATTCTGTGCAAGTTATCCAGTGAGCTCAAGCTAATAAGACTGTTCCTAGCACATTCCCTACAAAACACAATCAGAAACACCAATTAAGATGTCTCTCATTTTTTTTAGATTGCCTCTTAAGAAGTTACAACCCTCACTCAGGAAACTGAGCAAGCCAGTTCAATCCTTATTTCACACAAAGAGATGGGATCCCCCAATGTGATCTAACTTAGTCATTTTCCACACGAGACATCATGTGTACAGGCAGGAAGTTTCTATATGCACATATATTCATGTATATGCAATTTCTAGCACTCTGTTACTCTACCATGATGCAGGAAGGATTGAACCATAAAGAAGATGAAAAGTAATTGTAATATCAAATAATTCTACTATCAAATTAGTAAGCATGAGATAAAATGTTAAGTTCTATGAAACATTTTCATTCTGGTTGAAACCTTTAATTAAAGGCAAAGATGCTACCTGCAAAATCCCTAGCTGTTATATGCCAACTGCTCAGCCTGATGCTACTTTGCCCCATCCTGCCAGGCTGTCAGCTGAGCATCTATTTGTCTTGTTTTTGAGGTGTTTGGCTCAGCAGACCTGGTTCTATAAGCTATAAGCAATACTGGTCACCAGAATTTCATTAAAAAAAAACAGAGAAAAAAAGAAAATAAAAAAGAAAGCCCAAACATATCAAGTCCCTTTTCTGGTTAGCTTTATTTTGCGTTGTTGTCGTTACTGGCTTTTAGATATGCATTGCTGTATATTGCAGAAGCTGTTGTAACTGCACTATGCCCTATATTCATGGCAGAGACCTTCTGAGATTTTCACTGTTAATTTGCCCAGGAAACACACTTTCTAAAAGTGTGTTAATTTAAGTGACTTAAATATCTTATTACAAAGGTGGGAAACATACTATATAGATGCTTGGGTTTTGGAAAGCACAGGTGTAATTAGTTGCACTTTTCTGTGTGGTTATTTCTCTGTATAATAACATTACCTAATGATGCAAGGCAAAAGAGCACTTTCATTTAAATTCTCACATCTCTGGCTAACTGTTAAGTAATACAGAAGTAACAAATGTTCGCTACTTACATATTTGAGAATAAACCATTTACTAGAGGAGGTCTCACTGAGCAATTGAAACAAAACTAAGATTTTATGTCCTATTTCCTAGCAACTACTTTGAATAGCACATATTCTGCCTATAGCAAAATTCCTCCTTAATTATCATAAAAAACATGTGAAAGTTAAACTAAAGGTTAAAGTGCTAGGCATGAGAAAACTACACCCTAGCCATTTAAATATTCTCATGGGGAAATAAGAAAGTGTTTTATTTTTAAAATATGCAATATCTAGTTAAGTCTGTCTATCAAGTCAATTGTTCATTAACACATTTATCCCTGACAGCCATTGGCTATATTTAAGATCATTCTAATTAAAAATATGCTGATATTGGCCGAGTTCTAACTAAATTCACACTTCCAAAAATCAGATCTTTATAATTTGTGATTTCTATGGGGTTGTTCCAGAAAGTAGGTTTGCAAGCTGACAGAATTGGTAATGGCAACTGGTAGAAAATGATTGCTTATTCTGTTCATATAACTACTCATTTTCTCATATCAATTTATCTCCTCAGCAAATTATAAAGCTTTTCACCATTAACATAATGCACTGGCAATCCACTCTGCTTCTGTGCCAACCATTGCTCCAAGCATAGCTAAAGTGCATCCACTAGAATATTTTCCTCTATTTCCAAGGAAAATAGAACACCTATCCATAAAGTAAAATGCAGCTGTCTAATCCTTTTTTGTACTTTGAAAGATATATCTCCCCATCCAAACTGTACAGAATCTTGCATAGCAAATTTATGTTGAGAACAGGTTTCCTCTGTGGAAGCGTCTTCCATAAATGCATAGGAGCTGTTCATGGAGAATCTCAATATCATCGTTTCTGAACCAACGGCTTAAAGTATTCTGCCATTATATGCAGTCAACAAAATTTTATTAGATAATATGTTAT